CTTCATCTTCTTACTGTCCTTTTTTTGTTTTTAAATTAAAAAAATTTTGCCAGAGGGCACATATGTGCAAAAGAGAGAGAGAGGGAGAGAGGGAGGAAGTGAAAAAGCACCCTCTCTCCATGGGAAATTGCCAGGGACCAGCCTCGGCCAGCTGGGGTGGGTTATCTCGGCTGGGGTGGGTTATCTTGTCGGAGGCGGTGCAGGAAGGAAAGACTGAGGCCTCGGTGCCTTTTTCATGCACGTCCTCAGTCAGACACCCTCAGAGATTGCTCTCTGTAGAGTGACCACAGCTAGGAATTATCGTGCCTTTTTATTGAAAATGTGATACATGCAAGTAAATGGGTGAGGGGCTATGTGTTCTAATTATCAGTTCATAAAGTTTTAACAATAGGGAACATAGATTCCATTCAGGGTTGGATTAAGGGCGGGTCTATTACAGTTCAGCAATTGCTTGTTTGATGTAGGCAGGTCTTCGGGAACTTCATGGAATGCCGTTTCGGGAAATAGGCTCCAGCAAGCAGAGTTAATTGTCAGCTGATGCTCGGCGGCAGCCATTTTGTGATTACTGAGTACGATGCTAAGAAAAGAAAATCTCAAGTGTAGGTATTAGTTCTTATGGATCTCAATAAAGAATGGTACTTATATAGTTTTATAGGGATCTAAAACTTAATTTAAGGAATCCTAATATATTTATCTATTTCACTTGGTGAGGGCGGGGGTGTCCTGGGTCAGTTTCAGCCTAATCCTATTTTATGTAAAGAAAAGATTATTTTAAAGCTTATGTTAAGTGTATCTTGAAGGGCCTTCCAAAGGTCAAGAAAATTATTTCTGCCTAGATAGAACTTCAGCACACCCTCTGTCTCTCATGAAAGAAATAAAAAAACTGAAGGATAATGATTTAGATAGGTTCTCTAGAACTTGATACTATGATTTCAGTGTTTTTGCTGCATTTTGTAATGATTTGCGATTGAGAATAGCCAGGCCCAAAGTACCTTCAGCGAAACCCAACTAGATTGACTTGAAGTTTTTCTAACCTTAGTCCATGTGTTTTATCACACTGAAAATTATAAAGGCAATTTCTTTTGTCGAAAAATACTTATGTACTTTTTGAAACCCACAAGTGGCTTTAGAAGGGAGAGTGAGCTTTGGACTGATTTGCTCCTCAGGAAGCAGATTGAAGCCTAGCCACCGGGACCCCTGACCAAGTTGGACCACAAGTGGCAGCCACAACACCAAGGGCACAGGTACTGCTGCCTTTCCCATCTGCAGAGGAAACAAGAACATTCTTCCTTAGTGTTTTGTAGCTGAGGTTAAGACATAAGATGATTTCATCATTTTAGAAACTGAGCTTTTCCTGTCGTGATACATTTTAATGTTTAAATTTCCTGCTTACTGTACCTTTTTGGCAAAGAATCTACTGTCTGATACCTTAGATCTAAGAGAATTGTTGCAGTGTCATGTGAGGTGACAACAGCCACAGCAAAGTTTTCTTTCCCGCCTGTGTCCAGGAAGGGTGTTTGTGTGCCCGTACTTCTCAGGATGATTTTCACTGCAGGTTTGCCTTTTTTTTTTTTTTTTTTTTGAGAGTTTTTTGCTGCAGGGTGCATGCACTCACCCAAAAGACAGAGATCGAAAGTGAGAAATCACCCCCCAGGGGGATGGCCACGCCACAATCCCTTCTCCTCCATTCTCCTTTTGGGATCTTGGGTACACACGCACATGTGTCCAGTGTGAGTTTAAGCCACTGAGTCCAGGACTCAAACTGCAGTCGACTTTATGAGGGTCAACCATTATGCCGTCTGCTGGTCCTGAGGTTTACTCTTTTAAAAATTTTGCTAGAGGTTTTATGTGCTCACCAGAGAAAGAGAGAGGAGATGTAAGAAAGCATCCCTCACATGGGGGTATAGTCATACTCATATATATTGTAGCCTGTGTCAGTGCTTGATTGTTGGAATCTGTTTATCCTAGACCATTTTTATTCCCATAATTCTTGATCACTGTCTTCTTTTCATTGTAATTTTCTTAATGTTTATTTTCCTGTATATATTTTCTGAGTTCTTTTCTTTTAAAAAATATTTAATTTTATTTATCATTATTATTATTATTTTTTAATTTGCTACAGGGCACATTTGCTCACCAGAGAGAGAGGGAGAACGAGCGAGCGAGCAAGCCAGCTGTCAGGACTGAGACTTTACTGCTGTCAGCCACATTGGAGTCTAGAGCCTTAACCTTCATGCCACCTGCTGGCCCCTCTGAGTTATTTTCTTAGTACTTGTGCTCAGGATTACAACGAACACCTAACATTCTAGTCTGGATTAATTCCAGTTTAATTGTTTACCAAACTATTTACCTGTATAGCCCTATTCCTTTTGTCTTCTGTGCTAATATTGTTATAAAAAGTACACCTCTCTCTCTTTTTTTGAATTTCACCAAAGGCTACATGTGCCCAGAATGAGAGTGAGAAAGCACCAGCAGGTTTTTCAGAGACAGAATTTGTCTTTTTTTTTTTTTTTTTTTTTTTTATTAGAGGTTTTTGCTATAGGGCATGTGGGCTCACCAGAAAGACAGACAGAGAGACAGAGAGACAGAAAGTGGGAAATTACCCCCCAGAGGAGATGGCCACGCCGCAATCCCTTCTCCTCCATTCTCTTCTCAGGATTTGGGCATGCACACTCAGCGTGAGTTTAAGCCACTGGGTCCAGGACTCAAACCACGGTCAACTACATGGGAATCCAGTGACAGCCATTACGCCAACTGCTGGTCCTCGCTATTGTTTTTTAAATCTGGAAAAAAGGGTTTTAAAAAAACTAAACTTACTTTGTCTTATATATTACTGATGTAATTTTCTTGGCTGCTGTCCTTCGTTTATTCCTGTAGATTCAAGTTACTGTTTAATGTCTTCATTTTAGCTCAAAGAATTCCCTTTATTATTTTTGTAGGATATGTCTGCTGTGTTGAATTGTTGAATTGTCTGTTTTGTTTTTCTGGGATTGTCATAATATATCCTTTTTTTGTTTGTTTTTAAAGAGAGAGTTTTGCTATAGGGCATGTGTGCTCGCCAGAGACACAGAGAGATGGAGAGACAAGTGAGAAATCACCCTTGGGAGGATGGCCATGCGCAGTTCCTTCTCCTTTGTCCTCTTCTCAGGATTTTTGGCACACACACATGTGCCTGGCAAGAGGTTTAAGCCACCAGATCCGGAACTCGAACCATGGTCAACTAAGTGGGAATCCAGTGGTGTAACCATGACACCATTTGCTGGTCCCGATTTTTCTTTAAATTTTAAAAGATTGTTTTCTGAGTACAGAATTCTTAGTTGGTATTCCTGTTCTAGCATTTTAAATATGCTACTGTCGACAGAAAAATAACCAACTGTAAAATTAACAATTAATAATTAATATGACTTATTTCCAAGCCAACTGTGAGTGACCTAGGCCTGGAGAAGAGGCATACTTGCCTTTTCTTGGGGTGATCATGTACAGAGGTTCCTTTTATTTGTTTTTGAGACTGACAGACAACATTTAGTGAGAAGATTTTCCATTGATCTGGCCCAAAAAGGCGGGGCATGTAGAAGGGGTTGGGCTTGTAGGTTATAGGTGGGTTCCACATTTCTTAGGTTGCTGATTGGAAGGGAAGATCTGTGTCTTCGTTAAAGAAAGGCTTAATCAACACCTCAAGAAAAAGGGAAGTTCTGTGTCTTGGAAAGAGATAAGCAGAAGAATATACTGTAATTGGTTGAAATACACATCTCAAAGATGCTATGCTGGTCCCCCATCAATTAATTTCTTAATGTGACCTTTTACGATAATCCAGTTATGACTTGGGAAGGGCTATCATTGGTAGCACAGCTCTCACCAATGCAAACTAGGCTTTTCCTTTATGATAAAAGAGATCCAGCAGGTAGTGTAGTGGTTAAGGCACTGGACTGCAACATGACTGAGCTTGGTTCAAGTCCCAGACCTGGTTGCTTGTTTTCTCACTTTCCTCTTTCTCTTTTTCTGTTGAGCACACATGCCCTATAGCAAATTAAAAATATATATAAAATAAATAATAAATAATAAAATTAAATAATTTAAAGAAAAGTTTGCTAGAGGGTGTGCATGGTCGCTAGAGAGGGACAAAGAGAGAATCTAAGAAAGCATTCCATGGGACCAGCAGTTAGCGTAATGGTTATGGTACTGGACTCCCATGTAGTTAACCGTGGTTTGAGTCCTGGACCCGGTGGCTTAAACTCACGCCGGGCGCGTGTGCGTACGTGCCCAAGATCCCGAGAGGAGAATGGAGGAGAAGGGATTGAGGCATGGCCATTCCCCCTGGGGGGTGATTTCTCGCTTTCTATCTCTCTGTCTCTCTCTCTCTGGTGAGCGCACGCGCCCTATAGCAAAAACCTCTAAAAAAAAAAAAAGAAAGCAAGCAAGCATTCCATGGGGAGGTGGCCATGTCACAGCCGTTCTCCATTTATCTTGGGCATGTACCAACGTGTTTTTCAAGCTGCCTGGTCCAGGATTCAAACTGCACAGTTGGTCATGTGGGAATCAGACTTTAACCACCACTCTCCACTGGTTGGCTTTAGGCTTCCCTTCATATTCTCTCTGATGAGCCCACTTTAATACATGTTTTCTATGGGTAGCAACCTTGGTCTGTTTGGTTATTGCACTTGTGTACTGAGTAGGAGCTGTAAAGTTTAGAGGCAGAGAGAGAGGAAGAAGTAAGCATCCCCCTAGGGAAGGGTCATGCCTCAATCCTTTCTCTTTCATATCCCCCTCATTTTGGGATTTTGGGCATGCACATACAGTAATCCAGCATGTTGCTCAAGCTACTCTGTTTGGGACTCCAACGACACTTGGTCAGCCTTGTGGGATCCACCTGCTTTAACAACCAGGCCAAGCAACAAGCCGAGTATTTAATGGATGTAGTAAATTCTAGCCAATAACAGAGATGTGAAATAAGCATACTTTTCTAGCTTAAAGGCAATTTTGTTGTTATTTATTTTGTACAGGGTGAATTTGAAAGTGAAAAGAAAACTGCTTTGCCTGAAAAAGAGGAGAGATTTGAAAGCAAGCAGGCACCATCTCTTTGCCAAAAGGAGAAAGAACCTTTGTCTCAGCAGTTTCATGAGGACAGTCAGATTCAACAGGTATGTGGAGTGTTATTACTTCCTCACTATGTTTGATGTTGTTTGTTGGTGAAATACAAATTTTAGGATAACATGGGAACCAGCAGTTAGCGTAATGGCTATGT